TTTTTTTTTTTTTTTTGAGATGGGGTCTCTTGAGTGTCCCAGGCTGGCCTCTTAACTCTTTATGTAGCCCAGACTAACCTTGCCTGGAGATCCTCCTGCCTCAGCCCCCTGAATGCTAGGCTTATGGTGTGCACCATTACACCGTCTACTTACTTACTTACTTACTTACTTACTTACTTATTCAAAAATGGTTTGGGTATGAGTCATTGGACCTGAGTTTTAATTAAAATAGCCACAGTGAATAACCACTTTTTAGGCTAATAAGTATAAATTAACTCAGATTTTGGTTCTCTTGTTTAGTATTTCTTTTGGATTCTTAGTATGTATTAACATAGGTTACTTACTTAAAGGTAGCAGATTGAAAAGTTTTAGGATGAAATATGGAATCAGGGACTTGAGTCTACTTAAGTATTTGTAACTTGTGATCAATCCAATATTCTATTTCTTTTAGAATTTTGAGCCCTAAAAAATGACTCTTAATAATTACCAAGTTTATAGGAAAGATGCTAACAAATTTTAAATATTAACTCTTATGCATCCTTTGGTTATTTTTTTTCCCACTTAAGCTTTGTTTCTTGTTGACTTACACATTTCTTTTAAATCTTACTGAATGATCAGTAGTCTGAATTATGTATATTGTAATTTTAAAGTCCTACAGTTTTTCCCTGAAACTTTTGAGTCTTGGGATTGAACTTCTAATTGTTTCCAGAAATAATGCCTTTGAAAGTTGAAATTGTCCAGGTTTACATTGTAAATGGCACTCAACACTCAGCTTTTAGATTATCTAAATTAAAGAAAGACATTGCCTGCAGTAGTTTGAGAGCTTAATATAGTAGCTGGGCATTCATTCTTGCAGCTAAAAACTTGGTGTGATAAACAGGAGTCTGACCTGGCCGTTGCCTTTTCTCATCTGCAGGTGTGTGTGGTTTCAGCGCAGCATGGCTGTGGTCATCCGTTTGCAAGGTCTCCCAATTGTGGCAGGGACCATGGACATTCGCCACTTCTTCTCTGGATTGACCATCCCTGATGGGGGCGTGCATATTGTAGGGGGTGAACTGGGTGAGGCTTTCATCGTTTTTGCCACTGATGAAGATGCAAGGCTTGGTATGATGCGCACAGGTGGTACAATTAAAGGGTCAAAAGTAACACTGTTGTTGAGTAGTAAAACAGAAATGCAGAATATGATTGAACTGAGTCGTAGGCGTTTTGAAACTGCCAACTTAGATATACCACCAGCAAATGCTAGTAGATCAGGACCACCACCTAGCTCAGGAATGAGCGGCAGGGTAAACTTGCCTACAACTGTACCCAACTTTAATAATCCTTCACCAAGTGTAGTTACTGCTACAACTTCTGCTCATGAAAGCAACAAAAACATACAGACATTTTCCACAGCCAGCGTAGGAACTGCTCCTCCAAGTCTGGGGGCTTCTTTTGGAAGCCCAACGTTCAGCTCGACCATTCCAAGTACAGCCTCTCCAATGAATACAGTCCCACCACCGCCAATTCCTCCAATCCCTGCAATGCCTTCTTTGCCACCGATGCCATCCATTCCCCCAATACCAGTTCCTCCTCCAGTACCTACATTGCCTCCTGTGCCTCCTGTTCCTCCTATTCCCCCAGTCCCTTCAGTGCCACCCATGACCCCACTGCCACCCATGTCAGGTATGCCACCCTTGAATCCACCACCTGTGGCACCTCTACCTGCTGGAATGAATGGCTCTGGAGCACCTGTGAATCTGAACAATAATCTGAACCCTATATTTTTGGGTCCATTAAATCCTGTTAACCCTATCCAGATGAACTCTCAAAGCAGCGTGAAGCCACTTCCCATCAACCCTGATGATCTGTATGTCAGTGTACATGGAATGCCCTTTTCTGCAATGGAAAATGATGTCAGAGATTTTTTCCATGGGCTCCGTGTTGATGCAGTGCATTTGTTAAAAGATCATGTAGGTCGAAATAATGGGAATGGATTGGTTAAGTTTCTCTCCCCTCAAGATACATTTGAAGCTTTGAAACGAAACAGAATGCTGATGATTCAACGCTATGTGGAAGTTAGCCCTGCCACAGAGAGACAGTGGGTGGCTGCTGGAGGCCATATCACTTTTAAGCAAAGTATGGGACCTTCTGGACAAGCTCATCCCCCTCCTCAAACACTTCCCAGGTCAAAATCGCCCAGTGGGCAGAAAAGGTCAAGGTCAAGATCACCACATGAGGCTGGTTTTTGTGTTTACTTGAAAGGGCTACCATTTGAAGCAGAAAACAAGCATGTCATTGATTTTTTTAAGAAGTTGGATATTGTAGAAGATAGTATTTACATAGCTTATGGACCCAATGGGAAAGCAACTGGTGAAGGCTTTGTAGAGTTCAGGAATGAGACTGACTATAAAGCTGCTCTGTGTCGTCATAAACAATACATGGGCAATCGCTTTATTCAAGTTCATCCAATTACTAAGAAAGGTATGCTAGAAAAGATAGATACAATTCGAAAAAGACTCCAGAACTTCAGCTATGACCAGAGGGAAATAATGTTAAATCCAGAGGGGGATGTCAATTCTGCCAAAGTCTGTGCCCACATAACAAATATTCCATTCAGCATTACCAAGATGGATGTTCTTCAGTTCCTTGAAGGAATCCCAGTGGATGAAAATGCTGTACATGTTCTTGTTGATAACAATGGGCAAGGTCTAGGACAGGCATTGGTTCAGTTTAAAAATGAAGATGATGCACGTAAGTCTGAACACTTACACCGTAAAAAACTGAATGGGAGAGAAGCTTTTGTTCATGTAGTTACACTAGAAGATATGAGAGAGATTGAAAAAAATCCCCCTGCCCAAGGAAAAAAGGGTTTAAAGATGCCTGTGCCAGGTAATCCTGTAGTACCGGGAATGCCCGCTCCTGGGATGCCTGCTCCTGGGATGCCTGCTCCTGGGATGCCCACTTCGGGAATGCCTGCTGCAGGAATACCCGCTGCAGGATTGCCCGCTGCGGGATTGCCAGGTGCTGGAATGCCTGCTGCAGGAATGCCAGGTGCGGGGATGCCTGGTGCGGGAATGCCTGCTGCAGGAATGCCCGGTGCAGGAATGCCTGGTCCTAGTGCAGGAGGCGAAGAACATGCCTTCCTGACTGTAGGATCAAAGGAGGCCAATAATGGGCCTCCGTTTAACTTCCCTGGTAATTTTGGTGGGTCAAATGCTTTTGGGCCACCACTCCCTCCTCCAGGATTAGGAGGGGCTTTTGGTGATGCTAGGCCTGGTATGCCTTCAGTTGGAAACAGTGGTTTGCCTGGTCTAGGATTGGAGGTTCCAGGTTTTGGAGGTGGACCAAATAATTTAAGTGGGCCATCAGGATTTGGGGGGGGCCCTCAGAATTTTGGAAATGGCCCTGGTAGCTTAGGTGGCCCCCCTGGCTTTGGAAGTGGCCCTCCTGGTCTTGGAAGTGCCCCTGGGCATTTGGGTGGGCCTCCAGCCTTTGGCCCTGGCCCTGGCCCTGGCCCTGGCCCAATCCATATTGGTGGTCCCCCTGGATTTGGATCTAGTTCTGGAAAACCAGGACCTACAGTTATTAAAGTACAGAACATGCCCTTCACTGTGTCTATTGATGAGATATTAGATTTCTTTTATGGTTATCAAGTAATCCCAGGCTCAGTGTGCTTAAAATACAATGAAAAAGGTATGCCTACAGGCGAAGCCATGGTGGCGTTCGAATCTCGGGATGAAGCCACAGCTGCTGTCATTGACTTAAATGATAGGCCTATAGGCTCAAGAAAAGTAAAACTTGTATTAGGGTAGCCATTCACATCAATTCTTTATAGGATAGATCTTCATATTGCTGTGATTAATGCATCTGGATTGTTTTCCTAGTATTTCCAGGTTAGAACCTGTGGATTGTTTCAATTGCATATAGATTGGTTTCTATAACATAGAGCATTGGTTGTTTACAATTCATTACCAGGATTAACATTGCTGTATGTTACAGTAAAGCTATCTGGAGAGAACACAAAAATAATTTTGGCATACCATTAAGAGAAACCATTTGTAAAATTCAATGACCATATAAAGTTTATCAAGGAGTCTAGATTGGTTTTGTTTTATATCGTATGGGATGAAGAAAGTAGAAATGTCAGTAGAGCTCATTGAGGGTGCTCTTGCCAGCTGCTAAAAAATAGAAATTGGCTGCTCTTGGAATTTGATTTAAAGCTGGACAGACTTATTTTGTTATAGGGTCAAAGCTTTGTCTAAAATCTTCATTTTCTTTTAAAATTGAATAAAATCTCTGTATACAGATTCATTGTATGTACCTTTATTGCTTCTTGAGGGTTATTGCTGTATAGACAGTCCTGCTTCAGATGTTGCTGCTTTGTTTGCTTAATTGACTGATTTGTAAATAAGCAGAACTGTTTTGGTTTTTATTTCTAAATATAAAACTCCACATTTGGTTTGTGCTATAACCCTGAACTTTGATTTCTAATGTCACACTTAAAACTGTGTGGAATGTCTTTTGCCATTAAAAATAAACTATGGAGTCCTCTACCTACCAGAGCCTTTTTGGTTTGACCCCCAAGTTTTAGTTTAGTAAGTTTAAAAATTGTTCATGTTGTTTGTATGGCATTGAAAACTAGAAGCCACTTTTAGTAATCAGTGTTTAAGGTGCTTGATTTGAAGTCCTGTCTGTGATGGACTCATTGTTCTAGCAATTTCCTTCTGTCCCAATTTATGTGAGATTTTGGCCTTTAAACAGAGTGGTCCATAAGAGAGAGCATTATATCTTGGCTTTTAAAACTAAAGTTGAAATAGTTAGCCTTGTTACCAGTAGTTTTATAGAATAAAAGATCCATAAGCTGGTCCATAGGTTGATGCGTGTTTTTTGTTAACTTGGAGGTGTTTTGGTGTAGTTTGATCAGGAGCCTGTTTACAAAATTCTTATGCAGATTACAAGTGCAGCTGTCAGAAAGGAGAGAATGGAGATTCCTTGCCTTTTAATCTTTTGTTTGGCATTCAGGACACTAAGGTAGGAGGACCATATAGGTTCTGGTTGGTGTCCCTGTCATAGAAACATTTGCCTTGCAGTGTCTTGCTTACTGCCACATAAGGTACTAGGGTTTCTTTCCTTCGTTAAAATGCTCTAAAGATGTGTTACATTATATTCTAAACATAAAAAATGAGAGACTGGTGAGTTATCATGGAAAACAAATTTTATCCTTTATATGGCCCTCTTGGTTTGGTTTGAAATATCCCCAATCTTTTACAAATCAATGTACTTACAAAGAGATCAGACAAAAGAAGTATTTCCTGTTAAAAAATACAGTGCCTTTTTGGTATTGCAAGTCATTGGAACACTTGAAATACAGTGGCATGTAATTTAGAGTTAAGAGTGGCAGCAGTTTTATTTGTGTGATTAGATTTGGAAAGTCTTTTCATTGCTACATCTTAGAGGATTTGACAGTACAGGATTTTTGTTAGGGAAGGAATTGTTCAGACTTTCAGAAGAAGAGGTGGCTGCTTTGTGAGTCTTGATAATTCACACACAGATTTTCTTGACAAATTTCTAGATACCGCCTCCTCAGATGAAAAAGCAATATGTTTATAAATATTATTTAGTGTAAGTTTTTTGTTATTTCTCATTCCAAAGACAATGCAAAAAACTTCAGCAACTCTTGGGAGTCTTATTTCAACCACAGATTATTTTCCCAGTTGGAAAGCTATTTTCATTTTAGAAGAATGAGTTGTCAAGATGGAAGTCTTTTATCCTTTTTCACAATTTATTTTGGTTGTATGTTCGTACATTCTTATTTAATATTTCATACACTCTATTGCAACTACTTTGTTATTCCTACATTTTAGATAAATGCTAAAAAGGAAAACGATCTTATTGTTCATCAAATTAAATAAATTAATAGTGGTTTGTGTAGAAATTGGAGAGTACTGTTTCCTCTTTCGTTAAACCACAACAGTGCTTGTTGTGAAATGTAATTAAATGCTTTGCCCTCTGGAACTTGATTTTTGTATATCTAAGACTATTAACATAGTGCTAACTGCTAAGCATACTTGTTTTTCTTGTTCTGGGCATTGGAGTTTCAGTTTTTAAAAAACTCTTGAAAATGTGTTCTGTGAAACTATTCATACCTCTCCTATAAATTTTCTCCTAAAACTTAGGTTTGGGGTAGAATTGAATTACATAACTTTCTCATTTGTATGGTATGAAGGATTTGTAAAGCTTTGCTCAAAGTTGTGCGCATTTGTAAACACTTATCGTGGTATTCTCAATTTTATGTGTAAATTTTATTGTCTGTTTTCAGTGACTTTGACATTAATGGAAGAGAATCTTTCCCATTAGGTTTAATTTTTTTTTCTCCTGAGTTTATTGGTGTTGTTTATTTTCCTTTTGGTTTAAAGGATTAGAGAAATCTACAAAATGTATTTTATAAATAAGCAAATTTGTAAACTTTTCTGAACATCAGTGAAAGATTTAGTTCACAAGCATTATTTGGAGGTATGTTCTGTGTTTACAATGTAGTTTGGATGTACAATTATTAGTGGCTGTTTTTTTGGTTTTTTTGTTTTTATGCAACACAGTGTTCAGTGAAATGTAGTTCCTAATTTTGTATTCAAACTTATCAAAGCATCGACAATTAAAATTCCATTAGGAAAGGGCAGTCTTAATCCACTAGATGAAAATCTAGGACCATGTATGGAAGTAAGCAAACATGTATGTTCTTAGGTGCAAATAGTTACCTTGCATAAAAATAAGGAAACCTGAAAGCTTTACTCAAATTCAAACTCCATTTTACTGGATTCTGTGATTGTGTACAGGTGTGGGTCAAGTTTGTAAAAATAAAATCCACTCATAATTTTTTGAACACTTGAAAACAAGTAAAGAGCATGTAAAACTGCTGCTAGTCAAATCTTTTGGGAAGAATTTCTGGCAGTGATCACTTGAAAAATTATTTCCCACCCTCACAAAAGTCACCCATTTAAAATTATTTTACTTAAATTGTTTTATTGGCAGTTCTATAGTAGCACAAACTTTAAAAACCAAATACAGTAAAATGGCTCCTTGACAATATGGCCACAGCATTGCCAGCAAATACTGCCTTGGCATCATTAGCAGTTTTTTGTTTATAAAGATGAAGTCTTGAATACTGTTCAATAAACTTGTCACAAAATAAAGGCTGATGCTTTTAATGCTTTAACTGTACAAACGTACTACACTGAACTATAACATCTTTTAAAAAAAAATCCTGAAAATACTTTATGCCTTTGGAAATGTGGACTTGGTGATCTTGGAAATAACAATTGTTGCTTATCTTTGTCTGCTAATGCTGAAGTGTGGAAAGAAGAGGATGCCTGGAACGGCAGGGAGGAAACTTGATTCTAGGTCAAATCTGTGGTATCTGCCTTTTCAGAATTATTTTATTGTGTGTGTTTTGCTAGCAGACTACTTCATTTTGTGAACTTGGAAAGAACCGGAAATGGGAAAAGAAATCTTCAGAGTAGATTCTCAATTTCATACACCTCTAAAGCTTTTTCTTTGTTTTTGTATTACGGTGCAAGATACTTGAATTGGGGAAGGAAGAGGAATCAAAAATACTGCTTTCTGACATCGATGCTTTGGTTTTTGTCCCTTCTAATTTGTTCAATTTTTGGAAAAAAAATTAGCATATGAGGTTTTCATAAATTCTGCAGTGTCCTTAAAAAAAATCTGGATTAGAGTTGCAGGAACTAGTGAAGTTTTCCTTTTGAAAAATTTTATAACTTTTAATTTTATCATACAAGAGTTTACCCTGTATTTGAATATTAGGCTTGTTTTTATAGGGGTTTAGACCAGACATGTAATTCCAGGTAGTAGCTGAACCCTTTTTTCTTTTTCTTTTTTTTTTTTGAGATTGGTGGGGGGCATATCTCACTATGTTTGCCCAGGTTGGGCTTGAACTTTTCAGTTCAAGCAATCTTCCTGCCTCAGCCTCCTGAGTTGCTGGGACTACAAATGCATGCCATGCTCATGTGTCCATGAGCCTTTTTAAAGTGATCAAGATTGAGTAAACATTTGAACAATGACTGAGTGAAATCAACTGCCCGTAAATACCCAGTATGGCCTCTGTGATAATGTGTTTCCTTTTGTTCAGGAGAGTTCACTTCTTGTGTTCTCCTTTCCGGTGTTTTACAGCAAGAAATAGGATGTCAGTTACATTTATCCATCACTGTTCTCCCCAAAGTAGAGTTTTTAATGGGAATGGTAGAATCTAATCTTTTTTGTTGCTTTTTTATTAAAAAAAAAAATTGCTTGGTTTGAGTTTCATCCTTTTAGTATAATATCTGATCACAATGACTTAATGTAAAATATTTCTGGTAGAGTACTATAGTAGTAGAACAATTCTCTTGAGGTTGTAGTGACTTTTCTGAGAAAAAACCATCTGTTCAATAACATAAGCATGTTCTTTACTGTGCTCTGGGTTTATTCTTGGTGCTTTGAGCTATTTTGTGTCTGAGAGTCTCAAAAGCACCCTAAAATATGGCTCCTTTTTGGGTTCAACATAACTAGCAATAAGCAACCAATGGTGGCACACTAGTCTACATATTGCTCTGTTACTGAAGAGTCCAGAAGGAGAAAAAAGCCACCTGATATTAACATTCCGGCCCCAGGTACAGTATCGGGGCAGTATATAGTGGTGGGGAAAATCTCACTAACCATACCCCTTGTTTTCTTTTGAGCCCCAGAGACCTCCATCCAGTGAATATGTTGAAGTCTAGGACAGAGACTCAGCACAAAGTTGTAGAGAAGTGGTAAATGTCACAGAGGAGCATTGGAATTGTCACCCCAGCTGTCAGACATCTAGACTCTGACCCAAGTTTCAATTCATTTTTTTCCTAATCAACTGCTTTCTATTTTGTTTTGAGAGGAGAACATAATATGTACAGAGTCAAAGGTACAGAATCAGCTTAAATCATCCCAGGAGTGAGTTACACTATATTCAAATGGGCTCACCCTGGTGTTTCAGTCCCTCTCCATGGCAAAATGCTGCCATTTTGCCTGCTTATGTAGTTAATCTGGTAACCAGGACTATGAATCTTATCTAGAGACTCATTTGGAGCTCCCTCAGTGCTGTCTCTCTAGCTCCAGCCTCCTAATAAATGAAGTTCTTTGACTTAACAGCTTTTGATTAGTGACTAAGGGTAGTCACATGTATTTGTGCTTCATATCAAATGGTAAACATATTGTGCTTTATAAATGACCTGTTGGTCTTCAGAAAGATATAAGAAGAGTAAAGAAATTCAGCTGCTTAAAGGTTCTTAAATGGTACCAGTAGGGCTGATGCTGATTTCCTTCTTTTCCACTTTGAAGTGAGTTATGCCACCTTCCACTACACTCCTCCACACATTCCACACACAGGTCGCAATGGGTGTGGGAGAGTGGCACAGCCTTTGTATGGATCTGCCTTCTGTCAAGTGGTTTACAAACCCCTCCACTATAAATCTGGCTGAAGTGGTAGAAGGATTAATGCAACTTCTATTGACTGAAGCAGATGCTGCTTTGCTTCTGTGACTGTTGAATTGGCTGGTTGGAATTGGAAATACTTTCTCCTTTACATTTCTAATAGAATTTTGCATGAATGTACAGTTTAGCCATAGATACATCATATATTAAAACTTTTTCAGTAGTGTTGTATATCTAGCACATGGTGGAAAAGAAAGCAGAGTAAACCAGGCGCCGGTGGTTCATGCCTGTAATCCTAGCTACTCAGGAGGCAGAGATCAGGAGGATCGCAGTTCAGAGCCAGCCGAGGCAAATAGGTCATGAAACCCTATCACAAAAATTTGGACTGGTGGAATGGTTCAAGGTGTCAGCCCAGGTTCAAGCTGGGTTCAAGCTCCAGTACTACAAAAAAAAAAAATAGTAAAATGCCAGTTCTTCCAAGAGTTTATAGAGTGTTTAGGTTACCCACATATGTGCTTGGTTGTATTTATACTAGGTACTTCATGTACCACAGGAACGGATAAAGGCTTAATGGCCAATTGCTGAGTGATGTCAGACAAGAACAAATGGAGAGTTGGCAGAGTGGCTCAAGTGGTAGAGCACTACCTAGGAAGCCTGAGGCCCTGAGTTCAAACCCCAGTACTGCCAAAAAAAATGTAAACCAGTCTGTGACTGTAGTGTAGTTTCCCTTTCTCTATTTTCCAGACTTGGAAAATTTGAAGAATGGGCCTTTTTAATATCTTGCAAGTATCCTAACTAAATGAGTTATTCCATGGAGGGTTGGAAAACTTGCATTGTGAACAAAAGATAGACAACTTTTCCTTAGGCTCTCATCCGCTACTTTTCACACAGCTACTTGGGTGCTGTAAGTCACTACACAGTGGAGTTGCAAAGGTTTTTGGCCACAACTTTACCCAGGAGATGACTAAGGAAAGTGGTCTGATACTGCCTTACATACCGCACATGTTATAGGCCTTAAAAGAATGTAAATTCTAGTAGGGCATAATGAGGGCAGAATTGACTACCCTGTAGATTTTCTTTGAAAGTTTTGCTGTGTTACTTTCTTCTGAGGTGAATTTTATGAGCACTCATCATGCTTGCTTTTAAAAATTTACTCCTTTGGTGAAGTCCTATTAAATGTGGAGTCCAGCAGTTCCTTCCTGACTGAGTGGTCAAATACGGAGAATATGTAATGGGTATAGACTTCTTTTCCATCTGTGTGCAAGGTTGGTTAGTACAGGTCATGGAGAGAGGCAACATGGTCCTCACTAGTTTAGTTGCCAGGTGGATTTCAGATTGTAATAAACTGCACAATGTGGGCTATTGCTAAAATGGTGGATAGAGAAATGACATTCTCAGGGAACCAAGTTGTGGTACCATCCATTTCCCTCCTTTGGCTTTAGTGTTTCTTCTGCAAAATGGGATTAAACTAGATTATCACCTACCCACTTTAAACTGTGATTCTATGAACTCATTCTTTTTCTGGAAATCTGTAGGGAATTTGGACCTTAAGAAAGACCAAGAGATAGCCAGGCACTGGTGGCTCATGCCTGTAATCTTAGCTACTCAGGAGGGCAGAGATCAGGAGGATTGCAGTTTGAAGCCAGCCCAGGCAGAGACCCTGTCTCAAAAAACCCATCACAAAAAAAAGGGAGGTGGGGGGTTGTGGTGTGGCTCAAGGCATAGGTCCTGAGTTCAAACCCCAACACCACCCAGAAAAGCAAAAAGACAAGACCAAGAGAGTGGACCTCAAAATTTTGATCTGACTTCTACTGTACTGCATTTTAAGCATGGTAGTAGCCTCACACCGAAGCTTGGGAATAGAGGAAGTTTTAGGGCTGGAGGTGTGGCTTACAAGTAGAGTGCCTGCTTCATAAGTGCAAGTGAGTTCAAACCCCAGAACCACCAAAATCCCAAACCATATAAGAGAGGAAGTTTTAATTTCTTTCAGAGGCTGTCCCTGACCTGCCAAGTTAGGTCTTCTGGAGCAGGTACAACAGGCCTTCTTCCTGGGTCACCCATGAACCAACAAGGACCTAATGATGCTGCACAAGGACCCAGAGGTGCCCTTATTCATTGTGAACACCAAGAAAATGAATACTTAATTCACACTAGTCACTTCCCATTGTTGGCCATGGGACTTAATTGTCATGATAATTCTGTAAATTGCTATTATAATTACTCCCATTTTACAGATGGGAAAATCCAGGCAAAGAGAAGGGGAATAACTTGCCCAAGGTCTTGTTGATAGTAAGGAGTGAATGGAAAACTTTCATAGGTGCCTGCATGACTTACGCGGTATAGACTGTGCCTGCCTCTTCCTGATGTTGGGGAGGAAATACGGGAAGCCACTGACAGTAGGCCTGTCATGCATCCTGAGTGCTGGGGAAGGGGCTCCCATTCTGTCCCATGCCTATTTCAGTTCCTTAATTCCAAGTATGATAAGGCTTCAGGTACACAATCAAGCTCATGATTTTAGAGTGGTACCAAACTTACTTTAAGGTGGGCAAGTGGAAGTTTTGTGTAAGCATGTTCAGAGTCTGGGGTGGGGAAAACTACCCCAGTACAGTTCTAGTCTGCTTGAAGGCCATGCATTCCTCTTCAGCCCACTTCCCTTCTCATACCCAGTTACCTCAAGTTAGGTTCTCTTCTGTGAAAAGTTGTGCAAAGGTGAGATTTGTTCAACTTTGGATAAGCATGGGAATGTTGGACTTGGATTAGTGGCTTTAGGTTTTTTTGGCCTTCTGCCCAATACAGAATGATGGGAAACCTTGTGTCCATTTTCCTTGCCATCTTTTTCCCACTTTTCACTTTTTATGTGCACATGTGTATTTTGAGCTTTGCAATGTTGCCAAATGCTGTGTGGCAGCAGGACTTCTTAATGGCATATGGATCTAAATTTTGTTTAAAATTTTAGTTTATAAATACAATGTTAGTAGCCCCGAGTCATGTATGTATAAAGAATGTTTAAGGATTTGAAACTGGGCATGGTGGTACACATCTGTAATCCCAGCGCTTGGGAGTATGTTGAGTTCCAGACCATCCTGGACTACTTAGCAAGATTCCATCTCAAAAAATAAAAGAATTTGCATTTTGATCAGTTTTTGACATATGAGGAATGTTCTTGGGACTGCTGATTTAAATTTGGTGAATCCCTGAGTTAGAGAGAGATGCAAGAGTAAGAAACCTATCTGGCTTCACCATATCCCTCAAGGAGGCCAAGAAGAAGGAAGAGTGGTGGTGGTGGATGTAGTCTTTTTTTGTGTGTGTGTGTGGTACTGGGATTTGAACTAAGGGCAGCACACCTGCTAGGGCAGGCACTCTACCACTTGAGCCACTCCACCAGCGCCTTTTTATGTTGAGTATTTTTGAGATAGGCTCTTGAGAACCATTTGCCCAGGCTGACTTCGAACCAGGATCCTTCTGATCTCTGCCTCCCGAATAGCTAGGATTAAAGGTGCCCGATGTCTTTTCAACCTTACGGGAAAAGTATTCAGTGGATAGTTTTCCACTCATTGGAGGCCTATCAAAGGTTTCCTGATTTGCTTCCAAGACTTGCTTCAGGATCTGTGAGCTGCTTCAACATGCCCAGGTAGGCAACAGGTGTGAGCATGATTTTGGTTTGTAGAAGGAGTGATCCTGTCACCCAGACACATCTCTATTCCTCCTCTTTGCAGCCTAACTCAAACTCCTGTACCATGACTTACGGTAGATAAAAGGAGTGAGGAATTGCAGGTCTTTCCTAGTTAGACTTTTGGGATTGAAGAGCATGGAACTCTTGAGCTCGAAGGACTGATGAATGAGTTTCAGGCCATCTTGTGCTGAATTTGATCCAACTGAACCCAGGAGAAAAGATCTGTTCTTGGATTTATTAAGAGCAGAATTACAGCCCCCCCCCCCC